AGAACGGATAACGTGGGACGAACCAGTGTCACAATGTCTTAGAGAAAAATGGCTGATATTTTGTGAGGACTTAAAACTTCTCAATCAAGTAACTATTCCTCGTCATGTACTAGATAATAATTTTAAAATCTTACAAATTCATGCTTTTGCGGACGCATCGGAAAAAGCATACGGCGCTTGTGTTTACATGGTTTGTTCGACAGCTTCTGGTGAATATATTTCTTCCAATCTTATCCTTTCCAAATCTCGTGTGGCCCCGATAAAAACGATAACTCTAGCGCGTTTAGAGCTTTGTGCAGCATATGTTGCTGCTAAATTGGTGAAAAAGGTCAAACAATCAATAGAAATTCAAGTTGACCAATATTTCTACTGGACAGATTCATCCATAGCATTATGTTGGATTCAAAGTTGCCCAAGTAGATGGAAAACTTTTGTAGCAAACCGCGTAACAAAAATTCAAAACTTGTCTAACTCTGAGGATTGGTATCATATTCGATCAGAAAACAACCCCGCGGATTGTTTATCCAGAGGAGCCTCTAGTACTTATTTACTCGAGTCAGACTTATGGTGGAAAGGACCCACATTAGTATTTTCCAGTCCCTTAAAAGAAACTCAAAAGGTTGTTGAATTAACCTCAGACATACCTGAACAGAAAGTTCTTAGTCATTCTATAGTTTTGATGGAGGTCTTTGATTTTGATTTTGTCCGATTCTTGTCTCTGCTAAAGTTACAACGAATTATTGCAATATGTTTTCGAGTTTATTTTCGTCTCAAATCTAAGACTGTCTCAGTTGGTATCATTCAATCCGAAGAACTAAATAATGCTCTTATTTGCTTAGTAAGAATATCACAAATCCAATCGTTTCCAAAAGAATATGCTACATTACAAAGAGGCGAAACTTTATCCACTTCTAGTCAAATTTTGAGTTTAAATTCCTATTTGGATGAAGCAGGATTGATCAGAGTTGGTGGACGCATACAAAAGGCAAATATTTCAGTTGATCAAAAACATCCTATTATAGTGCATAATAAACATCCTCTTACTGTTTTGATTTTGAGACATGAACATATAGAGTTATTACATTGTGGGCCTCAACAGCTTCTATATTCAATCCGTCAAAGGTTTTGGCCAATTTCCGGTCGTCGAATTTCCCGATCAATCGTACGAAATTGTGTTGTGTGTTTTAGGGCTAAACCAGTTGCACAGCACTATCAAATGGGAAATTTGCCTGAAAGACGAGTTACAGCATTTCAACCTGTCTTTACACATACTGGTATTGATTATGCTGGACCAATAACTATAAGAGACAGAAAAACGAGAAATCCAAAAACCTTAAAGGCCTACGTGTGTGTGTTTGTTTGCATGAGTACGAAATGTATACATCTAGACGTCGTCACTGACAGGACCACTCCTTCTTTCATTGCAGTATTAAAACGCTTCATAGCAAGACGGGGTAAACCTTTGCATATTTATTCAGACAATGGTTCTACATTCGTGGGGGCCAATGCGACGCTTTTTGACTTTATTAAGACTAATTCAAATGATATAGCCTCAACACTTTCAGCTGAAGGAATATCGTGGCACTTTAATCCGCCTAGAGCACCTAATTTTGGTGGCTTATGGGAAGCCGGTGTAAAAAGCTTTAAATTCCATTTGAAACGCGTTATAGGTACTTCTAGTCTTACTTATGAGGATCTTTGCACAATATTTATTCAAATTGAAGGGGTGTTGAACTCCCGGCCATTATCACCGCTGTCTACGGACCCTCAGGATACAACACCACTTACTCCGGCCCATTTTCTGGTGGGAAAATCTTTAACCGCCCTTCCAGAACCAGATTACACAATCGTCGCGGAAAATCGACTGAGCAAATATCAGCGTTTACAAGCTATGGTTCATCATTTCTGGAAGCGATGGAATGTGGAATACATCTCCGAATTGCAGTCTCGAATCAAATGGAAAAAGTCTTATACCAAACTATTAGCGGTAGTTTGGTAATCATCAAGGAGGAGCAGGTTCCAGTCAACAAATGGAAAACTGGTAGAGTGCTCGAACTTCATCCTGGCCCAGACAGCATAGTTCGTGTAGTCAGTGTACGATGTGCTGATGGTTCGGTATTTAAACGTGCAATATCTAAAATTTGTGTTTTGCCAATTCAGTGAACCCTTTCTTTTTTCTTTTTTTTTTAATATGATATAGTTCAATTGGTTTAATGTTGAAATTAGTTATTTCAAGGCTGGCGGCATGTTAGGGCAAGTAAATAAACTTATGTATATTTCTCCAATATATCGTTGCCGTTGACCAGCTGAAAACAAGTGACGGAGAATTTTGTTCGTCGCCAAGGAAAGATTGTTTAATTATTGTCACATTGTCAAATTATTAATATATTTTGTAATTTTGTATTGAAAATTCAATTCAACGATCAGTTTCATTTATACAGTCCACTGTTGGAGCTAACAGAATATAAGAAATTACCCTGTGCCTAGGTATAAAATACCTGCTTATTGCGAAGGAATAGTATCACAGACTTATTCTAAAAAAAGAAACTCAATACATAGGTAAACATAGATATTAAAATATCAACATTTACAATTCTATACTGCATCAATAACCAAAATCAATTGCCCCATCAAATTACAACCGAAAAGCAGTCGGAATCACCCGAAAAACAAACAGTGGAAATAATCTTAAAGGGGGTGTGACCCTGAAAAACGACTTAAGCTACTTAAATTAAGAAAAAAATTCTAAGATCTCTCGTGAAAACCGCAGTCCTATATTCAAAATAGTCTCCGAGAAAATTCCATTTGAAGATAAATTATGCAGGAGCTTGTGATGTCACAAACGCCGAAATCGCAGTCTTCTGTTCGTTCAGTCGTCAGTGAACCGTACCCTATACTTTAAGTGGTTGCAATTCGCTCTAGAAGATAATTACCTTTTGTTTTAGAAAATTCTTACACGAGTTAATACTGTCCCTGATAATCCAGTGTGACGTCACAAAAACCTAGTTGTAACTTCAAACCGCCCTAATTTAAATATTTATTCTTAGATTTTTTTGCACCAAAACTTTCACATGTTTGGGTCACAACCCCTTTAAAAGCCCGAAAGAAAATGTTACTTACTATTCAATAGAATATATTTTTTAGGCGCGCGGAGAACACTTTCTAGAGATTTTTTAATAATATGAAAAATTCTCGGGGGGGGGGGGGGGGGGCGGAAGGGGCATTTGCCACCAGTGCCCCCCCCCCTGGATCCGCCACGGTTTTCACGATGCAAGTTCAAGATAATTAAAAAAAATTGTACAGGGTGGGCCAATTTGAACACTTTCTTATGGAAACATCCTTTATTTTTAGAGATAGAAAAAAATGAACCCCCCACTCTGAGACTTAAATTTCATGAAATTTTGATTGGTGCAAACCGCATTTTGATATCTTAAACCGTTTAGCCGCTAGAGGGCGATTCTCGATTTTGAGCAATAATGTGAAACCATCAAAACTTTTTTGTTTATCAGAATTATTGATTTCCGTACAAACTTTATTGAAGCAGTTTTTCAAGCAGAATTCAGTGACGTTCTCAGTTTTTTTCTAGTTGGTCCCAACGTCGAGATATTGACCAAAGTCTGGTTTTTTTCAATAGGACAACCAATATATTAATAGCTCATTGGAAAGCTCTGCTTTTTTTGATTTCAACGATAGGTTTATGTCTATCAGTTTTCGAGAAAAAAAATTATTTCGGTTTTTTTCATAAGAAGCAATGTGTAAGAAAAGGACTTCATATCTGTAAGGAAACTGAGAAAGGTCTCTTTCCAACACATTGTTTCTTATGACAAAAACCGAAATATTTTTTTTCTCGAAAACTGTCAGATAAACCTATCGAACTTTATATCATTGAAATCGGAAAAAGCAGAGCTTTCTAATGAGCTATTAATATAAAGGGTGTCCTATTGAAAAAAACCAGACTTTTGTCAATATCTCGACGTCGGGACCAACTAGAAAAAAAATGAGAACGTCACTGAATTCTGCTTGAAACAGTGCTTCAAGAAAGTTTTTACGGAAATTAATAATTTTCATAAACAAAAAAGTTATGATGGATTCACATTATTGCTCAAAATCGAGAATCGCCCTCTAGCGGCTAAACGGTTTAAGATATCAAAATGCGGTTTGCACCAATCAAAATTTCATGAAATTTGAGCCTCAGAGTGGGGGGTTCATTTTTTTCTATCTCTAAAAATAAAGGGTGTTTCCATAAGAAAGTGTCCAAATTGGCCCACCCTGTACATTTTTGTAAAGTAGAAAAATCAGGCTTTCTGACGATGACAAAATATACAGGGTGTTTCAGCAAATTTTAGGATTCGGCAATAATATGAAAAAAAAACTTAAAAAAATCCTCATTCTCCCAGAACAAACCGCATCTCGTTATCTTTTCCCGTTTTCGAGATATTTACCTGCAAAATGTGTCAGTTTATCTAAGGACACCCTGTATTTCAATAAAACCCTGGACCAGATCACCTACCGTTGCAGATACCAATTATTGTATGCCATTGTGGGGAAATCCTGTTTAATGGCATTCATAACCCAAAAAGTAGTTGAGGAAGTAGTTATTTGTCTTACAAGTCAACGACCTACTTTCAAGTTCCGAGTTCGGCTAAGCTTTAGGGACGGGAAAGATACTGCGCATGTATGTGTTAGGAACAATATTTTTCTACTAGCGTTCACGAACTAGGAACGGAAACATTAAGGTTGTCGCTCACTGGTGCGCGGCGCACGGCAGCGTGGCGAAGAGGACTTTTTAAATACATTGTTTTAAACGGGAGTACGCTCACTTGTCGGAAGAGCACCAATCGGCATACTCCCGTTTAAACCAATGTATTATAAAAAGTCCTCTACGCCGCGCTTCCGTGCGCTGCGCTCCAGTGAGCGTCGGCCTTTACTCTACCCTATCGTACAAGAAAATGCATACCTACCTATTGGGTATTATTATTTTTTCAATGCTTTCATCGTAGGCAATGTGGAGTGAACTAGAAAGATTCCTAAAAAGCAACCTTTATTCTGAAAACCACAAGGTAGTATACCGATGCTTGATGGAGTGTCTCAATAATTTGAATTTGGACGAAGACGCATCGAGCGAAAAATTGGATTTTACCGAGGCACTTAATCAGCAAGAGAATGTCGGTGCAAACAAATATGAAAACGCTCAAGGTGCTTCAGTTATTAGAGCTACAACTGATAGTCCTATGTCTCCTCCGCCTTTGGCCAATATTCCTGAATCCTCTTCACAAAACTCTTATGCAGGCAAGACTTTGTATGAGATTTTTGATATTATAGAAATAGAAAAGGTAAAAATATATATTTTTTATAACGTGTTGGCCCGAAGAAAGATTGGCAGCATATGTATATTTTTTTTATTGCAAGGGCACAGGACTTTGAGGAATGTTTTCAATACCAAATCTGGATGCAAATTATTAGCCTGTGTGTATTTTATTTAAGATTTGCAAAAGACCAGAGCTGACAGGAAGAAAGGATGAGCATTTTAAATTGTATATCAACCTTGACAGTGATGGAGAGGGAGGATATAGAAGCGAAGGAAACATGGATTCGGAGTAACCATTCCTATACTGATCGGCGATACTGAAAATAAATGCGTCTGACGCCTGCCGTAAACAAAAACACCTCTCCCTGTTCGATAACGTTCCGCAGAATAGGGCGATTGGTCAATTATAAGGCAAGGTGCACCTGAAAGCAACGATGTACTAGATCGATGTATAAAAATTCGCAGCTATTTAGACACTGCCACAAATAACAATAATTATGTCGATGTTTTGAACCATTTCAATTCAGTTTTTGAAGCCAATAAATTTTTTTTCGAGATATTTCGACGTTAACAATTAATTGTAAAAGTAAAACTAAATAAAGATATTGCCTAAGTGCGAATATCTCAACACAGGTGCTTTTGTACATCAGGGGTCAGGGCGTCAGGCTTATTTGTCTTCAGTATACAACAAACGGTATTGGTGCTATATCTTTTCAGTTTATGTACGTTTACTTATTTTTTAGATACAACTAGTCAAGAGATCATGCATGTTTTAAATAACGATAAAGTAACTTTTGTAACGTTATCGTCATTTTTGAGATCTACGATATGACCATAGTTGACAAACAGCGATTTTACCGTTCATAGAAGCCATCTTGTATAGATAGTATGTATGTCCGACTGATCCATAGGTTATATAAACTAGAAAACCGATCCCCAGGCAAGCCTCAATTCTGGTTAGTCGCAGTATTGTTTCTTCATTAGTCAGGATTTTTGAGATGACATTACAAAATTAAAAGAAAAATATAAGAAATACGTTTAAAAAATCATAGCCATCATTGATTTACGTTAAGACCAGTTGCTATGAACGGCAAATTCTCTGTTCAGGGGCTTTCATACCGTATTCCAATTATTCCATTTTATATTTTGAACCAGTGTGGTACAATAGCATTGTATTGTATAGGTACTTAGGTATTTGATTTTTTTGTATTTGAATAGATGTTTTAATTGTTTATCATCAGAATATTTATAAATATGGAAGCACACACGAATTGTTGCGTTTAGGAAATTATCATATTATTATAATATTAACACAAAACTCATAGACCGGTGGCCCAGCGTCAAACCACCCCCCTCATCGGGCACAAAATTTTCATTATAGGTCCTCGAAACACTCTATCATTCGTAAACAATACCGCCCATCTGCCATCGATGGGTGGTAGCCCGCTCCCGTGACCGCCCCGCAAATAAGGGAATTTTGATCAAAAACCCCCCTTACGAGTACACAAATGAATTTTTTTGGGCATGTAGAGAATTATATTAGAAACCTAAAAATACGCGGCAGACGCCTTCCAGTGGTAGCCCGTCCAGGGCAGACGCCTTCCAGTAGTAGCTCGTTTAGGGCAGAAGACCTTAAACAAAAATATATGTCGTAAAACTCCCCTTACGAGTACACTCACAAAATTTTGTAGACTTAAACAGTCAGATTGGTGTGCCAAAAATGCATGATGGCAAACGCCTTCAAGTGGTAGCCTGTCCAAGACAAAATTACGCTGAAGCCTTTCTTAATATGGATAAAGACATTATATAAAACTCTACATCATAAGTACGGGTATTCCAATAAGAGGTTTCGAATGTTGGTAACGAATAAAATAAAAGTTTCATAACATACCTAAAAGTTATTTATGGCAGTGCGTAGCATTCGGGTGCACAGTGCGAAGCTCCTGAAACACTTTACACCTGTCAGTGACCTGTCATTCTCCATGCATTTGGAATTGAACGCTTGATACCGAACGAGTCAAACTGTTGCTGGAGTACTTCTGAGTAACTCATTTAATTTTGTGTATTTCTCTTATTTCAGTATGCATTGTATAATATTTTCAGTTTGGCAATATTGTTTTATGAGCTTGACATTTTGTTATAGTTTTTGACAAGTGTCAAATATAGTCCTTGTAGAAGTGTAGCTTGCTCCTGTAATTTTCCTTTTAATTCATTATTAAAAGCTCCTGCAGTAAAGTTTTCGTGCTAAATAGATTTCTTAAATTATAAGAAACCTGAAACTCCAAAAAATTATACGTGGAATACAATATCTGCCAAATGACCATCACGACTTCTCTGGCAGCACACAATTCTTTTGTTGAAGTTTTTCACTACTGCTGAACACATTTGTGGAGTTATGTCACGAATTATACGCCTAATTTCTTCTCTCAATTGTTGAATGGTTTGCGGATAATTATCGTAAGCTTTGCTTTTCACATAGTCCCACAAAAAATAATCTAGTGGCGACGCATGTCACATGACCTTGGTGGCCAATTTACGTCCCCATTCCTGGAGAAGTCTCCCTCTAAACTGTGTACGCAATAAAGCTACTGTTTCACGTGCTGTATGACATATCGCACCATCTTGTTGGAACCACATATTCTATATTCTCTATTAGTTGGGGAGCTGGCGTCAAAAACATGCAAGAGTTTTCGCAAGGCGGATATTTTCAAAATAGGTCGTACTTTAGTGCTAGAATGCTAGTGTACAGTCAGCACTCACAGTTCCGGGACAGCTGGCTCTGGGACGCGGGCAAAGTTGTAATTTTAAGAAGCATCTAAACTGTTTTCTCAAAGCTCAAAATTTATAGAAATTTTGCACATTATCTGTTTGAAGGTCACAGATAACGTATGTAAATCGTCAGACGTCTAGTTCGTTGCAAAAAGGGGGTCAGACGTCCTCAAAGTTTTTATTTTATGGCATTTTCTTCGGTGTCCTGTCAAAATATATTTTTGCAGGTATTTGACAAATATATTTGAAGAAAATGCCATAAAATAAAAACTTTGAGGACGTCTGACCCCCTTTTTGCAACGAACTAGACGTCTGACGATTTACATACGTTATCTGTGACCTTCAAACAGATAATGTGCAAAATTTCTACAAATTTTTTGCTTTGAGAAAACAGTTTAAATGCTTCTTAAAATTACAACTTTGCCCGCGTCCCAGAGCCAGCTGTCCCGGAACTGTGAGTGCTGACTGTACACTAGCATTCTAGCACTAAAGTACGACCTATTTTGAAAATATCCCCCTTGCGAAAACTCTTGCATGTTTTTGGCGCCACCTCCTGGACTATATATCCATGTCCATTATTTGATCTCATAATAAAACATAAATCATCGTTTGGTATCGTTCTCCGTCTACTGTAACAGCTTGTTCGTCTTCATCTTCAAAAAAATACGGTCCAATGATACCCTCAGCCCAAAAACCGCACCAAACTGTGACACGTTGAGTAGGCAGCGGGATTTCGTGGATTTGTCTAGGATTTTCATGCACCAGATGCAACAATTTTGCTTATTTACGTAACCGTTCAAGTGGAAATGAGCCTCGTCACTGAAAATGAATGTATTGCAAAAATTATTGTCATTGCATGTGGCTCTCATAGAAGACCCATTTTGAAAATACGTTTTAACAAGGTAAACACGTTGTTCTATTGTGAAGCGCTCCATTGCTGAAATTGTACTGAATTCCACACTGAAATAAAAACCGAATAACATAAACAAAATTTGAGATAAGAAGAGCAGCAAAACAAAACCTTCGAAACCTCTTATTGGAATACCCTATATTACGGACGAAAACACAGATTTATGTATTATTCAAGAGTACTTAGCATTCATAATGATAAATAGGAGTTACAGACTATATAGGAACACGGTAGAGTAATGACTCTCCCAAACCTAACTGTCAATTATTTCTTCTTGAAATGACAAAAAATCCCTACAATGCATTCTTAATTTTTCAAGAATTTTCAAACAAATTATCGACTTCCCCCCGTAGTGACTCTCCCACATCTAACTTTATAGACTGTCAGCTAATGACAGATTTTGCTGACCGATTTTCTCTCTTCGAGAATTTACACCACTGAAAATTATGTCAATGCTGAGCTGAAAAAATGAAAATTTAGCGACCGGACTTCTGCTAGGCATATGGAAAATTCACTTTCCTTTTGCAGCGGCCGGAAAATATACCTTAACTGCAGACCGGCTTATGGGATTTTTTTTCTGGTTCCTAACGATATCAAATTTGATTCTGACGATTGTACGTGTAAACCTTATGGCTTTGGTTTTTCATTATTAGATTGTTCCTTAAGATTAATGTGTTGAAATGACATGAAAGAAATGGAAAAAATAACCTATTTTCTTCTGCAACAGGAAAATAAATTTTCCATATGCCTAGCAGACGTCCAATCGCTAAATTTCCATTTTTTGAGCTCAGCACTGACATAATTTTCAGTGGTTGAAATCCCCGAAAAGAGAAAATCGGCCAGCAAAATATGTCATTAGCTGACGGTCTATTACTGAAAAAACTATTATTGGCTGTGTTTTAGGGTCAACTCTATCATCCTCAAACTTCAAAAAATCCCTACAAAGCATCATTAATTTTTCACGGATTTTCCAACAAATTATCGACTTCCCCCCGTAATGACTCTCTAGTGAAGTTAGGTCTGGGAGAGACATGCCCAAAAAATTTCATTTGTGTACTCGTAAGGGGGGTTTTTGATCAAAATTCCCTTATATGGGGGGAGGTCACAGGAGCGGGCTACCACCCATCGCTGGCAGACAGGCGATTTTTGGTTACGAATGATAAAGTGTGTCGAGTACCAATAATGAAAATTTTGTGACCGATGAGGGGGGTGATTTGACGCTGGGCCACCGGTCTATCATACAATATTCATAAATAAATGGAGCTTGGAATGTACAAATACATTTAATTATTTGGTTTTCAATAGCTTTGAAAATGCTGTCATGGACAAAGGAAACATGGTGTCTGGGTGCATTTATGTTAGAGCTTCGATAAACGATAGGAGTAGCGATACTAGCGAAGCGGAGAAAATTATTTCATTAGTTTGTACCAAGGTGTCTATGTAGAAGCGATGCGTTAGGACAAATTTACCAAGGAAATTAAATATTTGCAGGTCTG